GTTCTACTCCCTCCTATATCACTGGTGCTATTTGTTGCACAGACTGCCTTGCTGTCTTGTTTTGACCATCTAATGCTAGCTGTTTACATACGTAAAAGCTCTCTCTGATGTGGTATTTTTCATTCATTGGTAATTTTTTCCAGAAGTCAGTCAAATGTTTCTATTGACCTTATTCTGCAGGTATCAGGATATATGAAATGAGCTTAAAAGCCAAGTAACCCCTCTTAATATGTGACTGGTTTCTGAATGAAAGTCAAAATACAGAGCAGTTGAAGCAACTGTAAATAACATTAAAATCATAAAACTTGGGACAAGAGGTAGGGCAAGTTCAGGAGGGCCACCTTAAGCTAGGTCCTCAGAACTTGCTTTTTCTACACACCCAGAAATAGTTCTTTCCCATTCTGACACAAATTCTTTCTTACCTGAGTTTATTGGTGATTTTCAGTCTTAGCTGCCACCTCCATTTAATCTTTCAGTCTGATAACCTGCCTGTCTAGTTTCCAGTGAGTGGAGTCTTTTTAAAAAAAAAAACAAAACAGAAACATTGCTTGTTTGCCTTTTCCACAATGAAGTACTCAGTGATTCTGGTCTAATATTAAGCAAAAAGAAGCCAAAGATACACACCCAGAAATACCAGCAGAAAAACTGTGTTTCAGCACCAGTGAAAGAGCAGTATTTCGGATGGGGCTTTGCAGTATCTTGCTTTCAGATAGGCATGGTAGTTGTGATGGTTCTGTGACTACAGCAATTCGTCATCTTTTCAATTAGTCACTTTTTCATTGTGCATTGAGATTTTTAATTGAAAACATTTCTACAAAGCAGAAGACATCTTAGAAAATATATGGAAAATGTACTTTTGAGTAAATATTTAATAAAATTTATATAATTAATTTTATTTTCAGGGAGTAGTTAATTTTCGTATACTTTCCTTTTTATATAAAATAAGTCATTATGCAAACTTATTATTACTTTTAAAGCTTCTTGGTTGAGTTTAAATCAGTTTAAACAAGATGATAAATCTAAATTACGAGAGGGGGTTTTTTAGTGTAAAGTGGTTCATTACAAAACAGCACAGACTATGAACTTGACAAGTTACTGAAAATATGATAGAGTATGTAGGGAAGTCTCAAGTTTTATGGTTTTAGGCTGCCAGCTTATGCACATGTGGGAATTGTAAGGAATTCTTTTTTTCCTTTGTGGGTTCAATATGTATGGTAACTTTTATTTGCTTGAATACTGTTAGAGTAGCAGCAGTGTGTTTAGGCAGAAAATTCAAATCCCTTCCTCTAGATGGAAATACTGGTAACCCTGTGATTTTTCCAGATTAAAACCCAGCAGTTCATGAGTTATGTTTTTCATTTTAAGATGCATCCTGTATAAAATATCTGACTAATTAAATTGTGGATTTCATGCAGTGTTTGATGTTCTGTTGATTCTGAAAAGGACCAGGCAAGCTGACTACTCTTTTTTTGGCAGGATGATAGGGAAGAAAGAGTTGTAATTGCTAGCACAATATGTAACTATATAGTTCATCTCTGATCCTGTGAGGCTTTATGCTGCCTTAAAGGGCCTCTTAAAACTTTCCCTAACCTATAACTCTTCTCAATGCCAGTATCCCCGAATAGGTAATTTTAATCTATTTTTTTCTCACTGCAGTGTAATTTTGGTTTTATTGTCACTTTCCTATCACTGTTATTGTTTAAACTTTCTTTAAAAAGAGTAAAGTCTTCATTTGTTCTGCAAAGCACAAGATTTGTGGTGCTAGTAGTAGTATAGAAGAATGAGAAATTTCAGTTGCAATATATAAGTCCAACTTTCTAGAAAATATATTAACTTAGAGTTGAATATTTGCTGTCATAAAAATGTGATGATTTGATACTAAGTTGTGGACATGATCAGTGTAAAATGCACTGCAAATTTTGGGCCAGGTGATTGTCTTCATATGCTCATATACTTGAAGGTATTTCCTTTGTAGATCTGTCATCAGCAATTACTGATTGACTCTCACCTGTTGTATCCTGCAAATGCATCCGGCATCTTTTGAACAGCTCACAGCTACATTGGGGCTAGACTGTAAAATAAAGTAATTATCATAGCTTTAACAGAATATAGTGCTTTTTTAATCTTAGTAGGAAAAAATGGTGGATACTGTACAAATACATGCTTTAGGCCTGAAGTAGATTATGTAAAATCGTCAGTTAACAGTTATGCAGTGATATCTTTGTGGATTAGATTACAGATAGTACCGTTTTGCATGACTGATAAAGCAAATATTGTACAAAACACAACATTATGTAAGCAATTACTCATGTTGGCTATTCCTTCATGTGTTGTTGTAGTAAATACTAGAGTAGAAAGCTGTAGTCAAGTTGGGCTTGTATTACTAGCTACCACACTTCAAAAGGGGTGATGGTAAGATTTTTCTAAAATTATTTATGCTCCTATATGACTAAGATCCTTTGAAAAGTTATCCTGTAAACATTCTAGGTTGTAGGATAGGACTTTTCTTTGGACTCTTTTAATGCATAAAGCATCTGCTGCATGGGGGGGAAGAAGTGTAAGCATGTTGGGGTAATACTCTGCCTGTAGGATTACATTTGTGAACCACAATCTTTGTATAAACAATGTGCAGTTACTATTGCCATTTTAACATTGACAGAGACCAGTGATTTTTATTTACATTACCACATCTGTATTGCTCAACACTTAAAATATAAAATTGAATTAATTTTCTATAATGTTTCATGGTAGCAGCTGAGGATATTGCTTTGCTCAGTCAGCAACTATGTGGGAGATTTTAGAAAATATATCTTTGGCTTTTCCCTCTTGGCATTAAATTATGATAACTAGGAGAAAAAATGATTGTAATTTATTAATAAATAATGAGAAACTGCAGTATGCACTTGGGAAATTCTTATCTTAAAAGTCTATTGATGATAGCCACCTTTGCCTGCATCCTTCTGGTATTTATTTCCACTTCTGCTTCAGATGGTAAGCACTTGGGAACTGTGATTAGACTTCTGCAAATAATTGATTTTTTTTTTTTTTTTAAATAAACTTGATACAAAATTGTTTTGGCTATAACAGTGTTTTAGGGTTTTTGTCTTTTTTAATGTTTTGGAGGTACGCTTCTTCAATATAATGTGCCAGATTTCGCTTCTCAAGTGTGGATCTGTCTGAGGTGGATCCTGCTGGCTGTGTGCCTCCCACCGTTTCTCAAATGTTCAGACATTTCATTAGCACTGTTTGTATCTACGTTCTGCTACCCTGAGGACATAAGAGAATGACTACAGCAGCTAGTCAGCTCCTTCTCATCAGTCTTCATAGGAAAGCTAGAAAAATACTATTTTTCCATTTTTTGAGACTGTTGGCAAGAAGTAACGAGTAGCTGTTATCAACAGTTCTGCACTGTACTGCCCTGAAATTACTTTGAGGTAGTGTACCACTCTTACAAAAAGACTCCTTGCCCTGCTGTTTCAGAGAGGTGAATGACAATTAAGTTGTCATGGTTAATCCACTGCTTGTGGCTTTTCAGAGACCACATCATAACTTCCTTTCAAAATTAATTTTTAACTTTCAAATTTTTTACTATACTTTTTTTTTCAAAAAAAAAAACCTTCACCAGGAGATAAAATACTTCTTGATGTTGAGTTGTGCTATTTATTTTCCATTTTTTAATTGCCGTAGTAGGACAGGAATGACTTTGAGTGGTAGAAAACTAAATTTGGAAGGGGCAGTGGCTTGTATTGCTTTTTCCAATTAAGATAGTATGTGATGAAAGTGTAATTTACTGGAGCCCAGTCACCTGTAAAGCAGGCCACATCAGCTGCTTTCTGGAGTTAGCTACTAGCAGAAATTTGTCAGCAACAATTTAGAGCTTGATTAAAATTTTTGGGTTGGTTGAATATGAGGTTTTTAACTTCTGTTTTCTGGCTCAGGTGCCCAGTTTGGGGGGAGAGGTCAGGTTCTCAGGAAAAAAAAACCCCAACACTTTTCCTGTCCTTTCAATATCAGATGCTTGCTGACCCTGGGGTTGCTTATACAGATATTCAAAGAAGGGGATTACCTTAACATAACCACAGTTCTTAAATAAGTGCATCTGTAGATCCCATAAGCTACTTTGCTTCTACTGCAGCATCAGGAGTTTTATTGCCTATGTTGTGCACAGTGACTGGCAGTATTTACTGCCAGTCGATTTGCTTTTTTTGTCTCCAAAAGAAATTATGATGATGTGCAAGATCTAACAGGACCCATAGCTGAAATAATTCTGAATTCCTGTGCATATCTGTAGCAGATATTTTCTTTACATCTGACTAATTTCTTAAGTAGGCAGAAGACTCTAGGCTGTTTGTCAAAGCACAACACTTTTTTTTTTAATTGTACTCTGTTTCTTGTGGCTGAAATAGATTGAATTTTCAACATAAAATCTACTGGAAAAAAATTCACCTGGCTTGAGCTATAAGGGTACTTGTTTGCCATTGAAAGTGCTTAATGTGTCTCTAACAGGAGGAAGATAGACTATTGCAGAAGGTATTGGATATTTGTTGCAATGTTGCTTTGACTTAGCAAAACATATAGTGTATGTTGAGCTCCTAAGTTTGTACTTACTGCTTGTTTTACTTAAATTAAGAATATATTGAAATGTTTTGTTCAAGCAGATCCTATTCCCATAACAGAAGGGGGCTTTTTAAAATTTAAAAAAAAAAAAAATTTCAATACTTTTATATCCATGACGCTGTTTATAAATTACCTTCACAGTTTTTTGGAGTGTCAACTTACTTTGAATTGTTAACAAACAAAAACTCCCCTGCATTTCATGATATGAATGGAATGCAAGGGGGGAAAAAAAATGGAAACACCAGACGTTTCAATGGAAACGCCAGACGTTTCTTCTGCTGCAACCTCTTGTTCTGTCCTATCTTCTGCCTGTGTCAAATAGTAATACTACATATTTGCATGGTCCTTAAATTGTTGTTTTGCTAATTTTGTTACTAAAACAGGCAACGACAGAGAGACCTTTTATACAGAAGCTATTTCGACCAATTACTTCAGGAGGACAGTTGCATACTTTGGGAGATCTGCTAAAAGATGTGTGTCCTAGTGCTATCGCCCCTGAAGGTACTGTAGAAATATCTTATTGGACAAAAGTTTATTTTTTCTGTTGATTTACTGTTTGTGGTTGTTTGTTTTTTTAATATGGGGATTTTGGAGGTAGAACTATGTCTCAGTACCAGAGTTTCAGATTTCACTCCTTACTGGCCCTTTAGTGTGCCCGTTATACAACACCTGCAGTGTTTGGAGAGGATAAGATTGAGTCCTTAGGCACTCCTGAAAAATTAATCTCTGGAAGTTTTATTTTAAAATTCATGTACTCCTTTGCCATCACGCTGTTCTTAATAAAAATATTCACATTATTTTCTGTATTTTTAAAAAAATATTCTTAAAGCAACGTCAACAGAAGTTTTATTTTAAGTAACCTTTAATTTTATATTGCATAAACTTTTCATATGTAAAACTCCAAAACTGATAGGAATTGAAGATGTTTTCAGAATACTTTTTTCCCTGTTGAAGCCCAATCTTTAAAAATGACCCAGAAGAGAAAAAGATTGTTATAAGTATGCAATAGTTTATGTATGGTTCCTGAGTAGTATTGTATGACAAGATACCAATTAATTCATGTAGCATTATATCACTTCATACAATAGCATTTGTTGATCAGCACTTATTCAGAAAAATAAGCATTTCTGGATGTTATTTTAGCCTCAAAGATTACAGCTATTGGAAGTCTGATATACTTTTTAGGTGGGATAAATGTAAAAGTTACGTACTCTGCAAATTAAGATCAAAATTATTTAATGTGAAATGTCTTTTCATCTTGTTCTTGCAGTTGTCTTACCAGTACCTGTAAATGGGTAACTCTTTTTTCAGTCAATAAATCACAATTTGTTTTGAGAAATGTCTGATATTCTAGAGAAGACCTTGGCACAGAATTTACTGGTGTAGTATCAGCACCTTTTGACAGTAAAGCACTAAATTTGAAATCAGTGTAAAAATCTGTAAGATGTTGTTGTACACAGAAGTTGTGTAATTCAAAATCAAACAGTTGTCATGGATTTCTTTAAGTATGGTGATCTTACAAATCAACTGAAATCTCAAAGTATTTTTTTACCCCTGTTTAGTACTTGTTAACACATGGAAACAATTTTCAAAAATAACAAAAGGTAAGAAAAATACGGAATGTTGCTAGCCATGTGTCCATTTTTCCTAAAGCTACTATAAATTTTAGAGCGTAATTTTAGGTAATGCTTTCAACTAACTGTCCAAAAGATAAAGCAAGATACAAATAGATACTTGAATGTTAGCACAAGCAAGTTTAACCATCTTTAAGTACTTAAGTGTGAGGATCCTACAGACACTAGTGAAAAGGTACAAAGTGAATTTAAAAAAAAGAGTAAGAAGGATGATGCCTTTTGACTTGGAAGGCAGTCAAGAGCACAAATTAAATGAAAGAAACTCAAAAAGCATTTATGCAAAATTTATTCCAGGATATAATGGATGATTATTTTTATGTGGATTTGCTAAAGCTGCAGATGGGGAATGTGCTAGTTACTGCCTTTATTAAAAGCATGAATGTAATGTAATTTTTTCTGAGTACCAGTGACGTGATGCTTTCCATTAGTAGTTCTTCTTTTCAGATGTCGACAAATTCGCCAACCTGTAATAGCAGAATAGCATAGTGCTATGCCAATTGCTTGCTTCATTTTTGTTAAAGGCTAAAAAAACCCCAAACCCTATATTGTTTACTCAATGGAAGCAAAAAATGGTGATTACTTGGAAGAAAAGAAACTAAAATAGGTACTATCCTTATACTTAGGAGGAGCGATTTGAAATTTGGTGGAAGGGTTTCCTTGTACTGGAATATACTTGTCTGTTCCTGTATAAATCTGCTTAAATTTGGCCTAGTTTTGATCCTTAAGATTCTACTGAGCAACTTGCAGACTTAGAGTTTAATAAATTTGATCCCTCACATGGGTGTGAGCTGTTTAGGATTCAGCAGAATTTCTCCTGTAATGCAGCTTTGTATTGTTGCGTTGTTCAATTGTTCCTCTTATATTCTGAGTGTTCTCCTCCTCTTCTGGTAGGTAACTGAAGGAAAGCTGTCTGAGCTAAATGCAGAAAATAATGTGAACTCTTGAGGAGATATGGGGGTAAACTGATACATAGAGCCAGTGGAGGGGGAGACAGACTGACTGAACGAGTAATTTGGAAGAAAATGACAGATCTGGGAGTCATTAAATGTGATGGGGAGAGCGACTATAAACAATGTGGCAGGATGAAAGAGATTGGGGCAAAAGCCAAAAACTGACATAATAACTGTGAACACCTGGACAGAGTAAGTGGGATAGGAGATAATAAAAGGATGAGGGAGAAAAAGAAGCATATTGCGTGTGAATCATACGCTGAGACTGTGCAAGTCATCCATGAAAGAATGGGAGTGGAAGTCCTGTTGGCGAAGTGATTCGGATGGCCTGGAGACCCGTTTGGAGAAACAAATTGAATCAAAAGTTGAAAAGAAGGGCAGTTTGCACTGGCAGAACAAGAAGGTGCAGGTGGATAGATGGTCAGGTGGAGCTGGAGATAGTCAGATAAGGGACTGGGGGAAACTTGTTCAGGGTTTGCTGTACAAGTAGACTGCACCCCAGACAGGAATATATGGTAGAAAATTAAGCATGCCAATATGGAAAGAAAAAAAGACCTAGGAGATAGATCAGGAAGAAGCAGAACTAGGACAAAATGGAGGGATGATAGAGGAAGGATCAGGCTTATGGAAAATGACCTGAAAGGATGGATGCCCATGACAGCAGTGATTCTTACTGCTGAGGAACGTGCACAGGTAAGGTCAGTGCACTTAAGAGGTGTGGAGAGCAGCACTGGTTTAGGCTTGACTGCTTCAGTTCATCATACTCTGTTCACTGATGATTCAACTTAGCCAATAAGTGAACTTTGATTATTCTCTTGCTTGGCTTAATCCACTCATCTTATTCACTATTCAGATGTAATGCGCACCATAATAAGTGTTCATGCTCTAATACAGCTTTGAGCTATTAAAAAAAAGCCCACTAACTCACCAGGCTGCATAGTGCCACTTTTGAGTTTTGCCTACAGAAATGTTAGCAGCCATAACGAGGACATACATCTCCCTTTTTTCCAGCAAGTGGACTAGACTCCTGAGACTACAGAACCTCAGCACATCTGTGCTGCGGAAGTCTCCATGAAACTCACTCAGTCAACTTGTTTTCTCTCTGATGCTGGTTTACTGAGAGTTTAACAAGCTTCCTCTGTCAATAGATGCTCCATCAGTTCAAAATGCAGAGGAGATTGTAGAGCTGAGTGTTTCTATCCATTTTATGAGCATATGAGAATTTAATTTGCAAGCATTTTTTGGAAACCTGGGAAACTATGCATAAATGTTTTTTCTAAAGTAGTTGTATCCATTTGAAATTGAATACTTGAAATTTAGGAGGTGTCAGAGTTGTAGACTCCCTGTACAATCTTAATTTCCATACACATGTACACTGATCATTATACAGCTTATAATCACTCTCCACCTCTCATCTCCCTTTGTTTTCTGCGAGACTTTTGTCTTCCTGCACAGGCTGGGCATGTTTTAGTGTCAGGGCTGTGTAGTGAAAAATCATTGTCCTGATTGTTGAAATGATGGATGGGGAATGAATGTACATCAGGAAGTATTATAATTTAGGCAGCTGAATACTGCCTTTGGGAATTGAATTCAGTTCTTTCTTCCCCAGGGAGTTCATTCATATGTGATACTAGGCAAACTGAGTGTTACAAACCCATCCATTTTCTAGAGAGGAGCACCAGAAAAATCCAGTGATCAACGTGAGTGTTCTGCGGAACAGCTTGCTTGCTTGTACTTGGAATCAGCGAGAGCTCTGGGGCTTTGGGTGTGCAAACACCAAGCACTCTCTTGAAGTCAAGTTCTAGGCCTCTCGTTACTCTTCTTCTCTCCTACCCTCCAAAAAATTGATGCTTCTGGCCATAATGTCTCTTTGAGTTCAGTGTGTGATCTATAAAATTATGATAATGCAGTCTCTTTCCACAGGAAAAATCTTGATTGAAACAGTTTCTGAAGGAAAAATAGCTTGTGGTCAAGACTGTTTGAATTTCATGGTATTAAAAATTGTCCTCTTTGAACCTTTTTTGGTATCTTCTAATTCTTGTTCTTGTAAACTTACATGTTTTGTCTTAATCTACAATTTATATTTATTCTGGTCAAGGCATTAAAATAATATTGTAACAAAATAGAATACCTTATCAAAGGTATATTAGAAAATGATGGCAAACTCTCCACATCTGGATTTTCAGACTTTATTCAGTGTTATCAAAGTTTAGATCTACTTAATTTTTCTGAAGAAAAAAAAGTAGTATCTCAAAGATGTGCTTAAAGACATAATAGATATTGGTGAAGCAAGTTGTTTTCAACCTTTTTCACTCTTGTTTTTAAAAAGTAATTTAGATATTTTTTCCAAGACTGTTTTTTAAGCCCCCTCTGTAGTGAATTAACGTATTGGTGACATTAGCTGCATCTTTTTGTCAGTGCAATACAATCAATATGAGCTTCTCTCTGTTTTTCTCCATCTGAACTTTTTTTTTTCCTTTTTCCTCTATGGTTTTCTCTTTTCCAATGACTTTTCATTCAGCTGGAAGCTTCATGGTAATTGTGGTGATTGCTTGTCTATGGTGACATCCGTAGCTGAGCTTTGTGCCGTGGGAACACAGAGAATATATGATTTTCAGACTCAGTATTTGTAGCCATATATGTGAGCTGTTCCTGCTGCCAGATACTTAGGGACCACCACAAGAAGAGGGAGGGAAGGGTTTCAAGAACCACCCACAGTGTCTATATGCCTTTGCTTTAGGAAACATGGATATAATTAAGTCTCTCTTTTAACTGTGCTGAGAAAAAATATTTCAATGAAAAAATGTATTTTTATGTATATGTGGATTGAATATATACGTTGATTGACAATTGTTGAAAACACAATTTAAAGAACGTTGTCAGAATTAGAACAGGTTGAATAGTGGCATTAAAACAGCGATAATGAAAAAGGTCTTTGTAAAATATTGTGTCAATATTACTTGGGACTGTTACAGACTGTGGGTAACTGTTTAGATACTGCGTTTTATTTAAATTAGCTTATGAAACTATTTATTCAAGGCTTTTATTGTTTGTTGAAGTGCTCTAAAAAATAAAAACTTGAGCAGTTATTATCCAACCCATACTTCCCTGTCTCTCCTCAAACTGGTCCTTTATTCAATTATGTATATATTATCCTGCTTAATGAATGCTGTACAGTGCTCACCTTTCTGGATTGCTCGATAGTTTCATCTCCTTAAACTATTCATCAGAGGAAAACTGATGGATAAAAGTTACAGGCTTTTTGTCATGGGCATTGTTAGACCAAAGGAAAGAGCAGCTTCTACTTAGTCTATCCTTTAACCCTTCAGACTGCAGGGAGTGTTAGCTTGATCTTTTTTTGTTCTTAATCACCATAGTGGGGTTGTTGCAGAGAGTATAGCAGTTTAGAACCCATTTGTCAAAACGCATGTCAAGCAATTTATACATTACTAGTAATGATCAGGAAGTGTGAAGAAAAGCAGTACTTCGAATTAGAACAAGCACTAAGAAGGCAGTGTAGTTCTTAAAACTTCTGGCAATTACATTAATTATCTTGACTGTAAAGGATACCCTCTTCCTCTAGAACAGCAAGGAGAATGGCTACCTTTATTAGTAGCAAACATCTTTAAGAATAATACAATGTTGAGAGAACCTTTGGAGAACATGCTCTTTTTTCACCTTACAGTACTCCTACTGCAGTACTGTACAGTACTTTCTTCTGGAAGACTAGGTTAGAACCGATCTAATATGACCCTCTCTTAATTTTCTGTCTAAATGAGTATTTAGACAGCAAATGTGTTAAATCAGATACTTTCTTATTAGCCAAGTAGTTTTTCTTTTTTTCCTTGGTGCCTATTTACCTGCTTCACAGGCAGTGGTTGTGGTTATGTGGCAACAGAAATAGTAAGACAAAGTCATCGCAGAAAGTCCATCACCTTGCATTTAATATTGACGCATTTAATTTGTTTCAATTTTTTTTTCTTTGTTCTGATCCTCCTGTGTTGACATGAAGTTTGGGAA